TATAATATTGAATATATTTTTTCATTTCAATTATTTAAAGATGTTATGTATATTGCTTAATCAAAATAATCATTTTTTCTTTTTTCGATCATTTAAAACTATAGAAATATACAATTTAAATTTTTTTCAAAAATACTTCTTCGGGAATAACTAAATAATTCATTTCAAATTAAATAAACAATTATCAACCTAAATAAAATTTGAATTCAATTTATAAATTGTTATTATTACACAGTTAATGTATATTTACTTCTAAAAACTAAAGCTACTCTCGGATCTATTTATTCTGTTATTATGAACTAATCTTAAAATTTTTTATATTCTTAAAAGGAGATGCTCAATAATCACAATGGAATATTTATCAAAGATTAAAATTAATAAAAAACCTGTAGTGCAAAAGTTGGCTAGTTAGTTTAGAAATCTAATTGTTAAGAATTATAGCCTTACCTTTAGGAAATTTAGGTGGGAAACTTAGATGCTAGTATCATCTTCTTGATAAAATATGGTTTTTGATCAATGTATCTATATTTAAATCCCTCATTCAAAATTTTTCTCTTCAATTCCTGAATTAGCAAAATTCTAATTTTAGATATTATGCTGTCAATTAACTAATTAAAATTAGAAAAGCATTTCATAATTGATAAACAAGTTTAGATATAAAATTTTTGATTCTATCACAATTCTTAATAAGATTTCTGAATAAAATGAATTGAATAAACTGCAAACATTATTATAAATAACTGCATTAATATAGTAATAAGTTTTATAGAGAAAATAGTGAAATAAACAGAAAGTGAATGCTTATAAAAAATAGTTTGGAATAAAATTAAATTTCAGAAAAATACTTTTTTTAATAAGATCCATTACTCTTTATGAATTAGTCATAATTTTTAACTTTGATATAAATAATATTGTTATGATACTATTTATGAATAAATAAATTACTCTATATGATACTTTTCCTTTAAATATTTGATTTATATTTTTCATAACTTATAAAACAATGTTTATACATAATACGTCTTATGATATATCAATACCTTAATATTTCGTATTTTTATTTAACACAATGTTCTTTATATTAATCTTTTCTTCAATGCAATTCCAACAGAACAATAAAGGAGATTATATTATATACAAATTAATCTTTTCTGAGTAATATAAATTTCAATTCAGTTATGCTAAATTTCAAAACCTAAATGCTTATATTTATTTATTGGAACACCTTAAATTTTATTGGGAATATTTACTTATAATTTTGCGATTAGTGTGATCTGAGTGATTAGTAAATGAGAATTATGTAGATTTCTTGTATTATGATTCTATTTTGTTCCTTTCTTTTATAGAAATTAATATTTATCTATAATTTTATAAATTCACAAGAGGCTATCTTTTTTGTTCCAATAAATTTTCTTATACTTTCTTCTTTCATTAAATATTAAAAACCTGATTTTTAATTTATTACGTATGGTTCCTAAAATAAGTTTTTCTACTGTTTATAGATTATTTCACTTCTTATGGAGTAATTTTCAGATGTTAAGCGATTATTTCATAAATATTATTGTATTTACCTATGCTTTTCTCAATTATTAGTTTTTTAACAGTGAGGATAATTAAGCTAAATTTCGAATCATTTCTATATTTATGATTTTTTATCATTATAAAAATCAGAATTAACTTTCTATATAATCTTAAATTAACAATATCTTTATTTATATTTTTTTAATTTTTATTAATACTAAATACTATTTAATTTATCACTTTATTAATATATAAAATATTTCATGTATGTTATAAAAAAAAAATAATTCTAAACATGTTCAGTTTTTAATCTCATAATTATTATAAATATTAATCTCATAATCTGACTACTTTTAATTGATCTTTTGCTTATTCTACTCTTTGCTTTAATGATTCTTTAGCCACTTTTGTTCTTTTTTTAAGTTCCTCTTTTGGAATTTCGTAGGCAAGATAATCAACTATTCCTGGATCAATCAATTCTTTAATTTAAAATTCATTTAAAGGAGGAATTTCACTCCAAGTTAATGGAGCTCCACAACCTTTTCTTATTATACCCTATTTGCCATCTTTTGAAAGTTTTGTTGTCTTTTAACTTGTTTAACTAGCATTTTACTGATTAGTATTAGTCCTTTCTTAAAATTTAACACCTTTTTCTGATATTTCAAATACATATTTTTATGTGTATTTGTAATTTTAGAAATATTCATCTTCTTCAGGGAAATTTCCACAATTTGTTTTTCCTTCACAACCTGCTACTTTTAACCAAATTACACCACAATTTGGGCAGGCCTTAATGAAATTAAAGAAATGTTTTTCATCTTATCTTATTTTTTATTAAGTTAATTTGACAATATGATCTACTTATTCCATTAGTTCTTTTTTTAATGCAAAATCAACTAAATATGCAGTGACTGGATCTGAACATTATTCATATAGTTTAGAAAAAATATCGTTATTTTTTACTTCAAATTCAGATATTTATTATTCAGCTATTTTCTTAACTTCTAATGCTAAACAATGCATTATATTTGACATATCCTCATGTTATTTATTAAATTCTCCAATAAATTTAATTATAACCTTAGAAATTTTGTTAAAATTAGTTATTATCTATCCTTTGGCTATTTCTAAATCCATTTCTAAGTCATTTATATATTCTATGAGATCGAAATGACTATAAAATTCTGTTTCTGTTAATTCTACATTTTATAATTCTGTTTTTATTAAAATTTTATCAATATCTTAACATATTTATTTACTTGTATCATTTTTTGAAAAATATACAAAAGAATTCAAACCAAATGTCTTCATTGCATTAACAAATTCTAATTTATCTTTTTCTAAAGTTTCTTTATCTGCAGTATCCATATGTGTAACTGCTAGAGTGACTAGGTTCCTATATCTCATAAATATCTACACCATATTTTTAATATAATTTCTCATCAGACCTAATCTTTCCCACTTAACAACAAGAAATATTTAGTTCAAAGGACCTTCAGTCAATGCATTTAACACTCCAACAGCATGCTCTATTTTGTTATTACTTGAACCAAATCCAGGTGTGTCGAGTACTCGAAATCCTTATCCATTAGAAGACTCTTTTAGAAAGACTTATCTAATAATCAATCAATGATCACCTTGTCACAGATTCACCTCCTTATTTAACTTTACAATCTGTATTACAAATTTTATTAAATAAAGTTGTTTTTCCGCAACCAATAAAACCTATAAGAACAATCTATTTGTGCTTCTTATTCATAAATTTATGATTAACTAATCCAAATTAATCGATTTCCTTTTAAATTTGAGTAAAATCTATTACACTTTAAATATGAGTTTGATAATTCTATTATGAAAATGTTTTATTGAAACAATTAATTCTATAATTTAATCTAATATATGAGTAATAAATTATTCATCTTAATAGGCAACGATGAACAACTAAAAAACTAGCTTTACTATTAATTGACTGGAATTAGACAGTTATATGAAGAAGTAAATTACAAAATTTACCCTTCACCCATAAAAGATGCACTTTTAATCCAAGAAAAAAACATTTATGTATTAAATACTCCACCAATAGAAACATAAGAAGATCATATTAGATTATGGAGTTTAATTGCTGCTATTTGTTAATGTCAAAAATTGATCATTGAAGATGTTTTTTACTGTTTAGATAATTCAAACTAACTAATTATAGACATATTAAACTATTTAACTTATTTATTCTATTATAATAATAAAAATGGAATTTATTTTTTCACAAAAAAATCTATAGATGTTTTAAATTAAATCAGTAGTAAAACCTAAAATTAGATTTGCTTTTAATTTAGATATACAGATTTCATATAAAAATTTAAATAGCTGATTAGGAGACAAAATAAAATGTTTTTTAGAACATATTGTTTTGAAAATTTGAAGATTAATGAATAAAGTGAAATTTAACATTTAATCAATGAAATTTCTAATGAATATATAAGAATTTCAATTTATTGTAATAATTACGCTTAGTTTATAATAAATTTCTTTAAAAATGAGCATTTAGAAAAAACTATAAATTCATTCAAATTTGAATTTGATAACATTTAAAGTATTTTTGAATATAGAGTATTGATTAAACAGTCATTAAATAAACTTTTTAATTAAATTCTTAAATATTTTTCTAGATTAACTCCATCTTCATTTTACTAATGTTTGGATTGTTTATAGATTTGCTATATTGAGAAGTCTATTAATTATCCTATCGACCCAATTAGATCATAAACCTAAATTGCTAATCCCAATGATAGATAATCAACCTTACAATGTAAACATTGCCAATATTTATTAACATACACTTCCCCATACCTTATCATCTAAGCATGCTTAGATGATTTAGAATTGAGGATTTTTGAAAAATTTTAATTTGAATTTGAAAACTAACCTATTTATAGAGTAAAAACAAAAACAGAACCTCTTTAAAAAAAATAAAAAAGTAATCCAAATATAAAGATAATTGAAATTGAAAACTTAAAATTAAAGGATGCTACATAAATTCTATTTTTATCTAATGAAGACAATTATAAAAGCATTATCTTTAATACATTAATAGAATATAGAGATTAAGAACAAATAAACATTAATAATAATATTTTTATTAATGGATAAATTACTGATGGAAATAATAGTTATGTTTTACATAATCCTCCTTTATTTGACTTTTAAATTACTAATTTAGATGCAATAACTTCATTTAAGTAGTACTTTAGTAAAATAACAATTCACCATTTTGTTTTTTTCGTAAATTACTAAAGAACTGATATAATGAAATAGAGATTTTTTGAGATGTTTAAAAAATTACTAAGACTAAATAAATCTTAAGTGTCTATTATAGTAACTTAATGTAATTCTGATGTAGACTAATTGTAAGATTTGAAAAGTGAATTAGAAAAGTTTACACTCAATTCAATTATATTTTTGAATAAACAAATCAATCAAACTTAAATTAAATAATAGATTTTAGAATGCTTTTAAAAAGTTATTCCTATCTAATTTCAATTTTAAGGCACTATTTTTGAAGAGGACAATGTTGAGGAAGAAAAATAAATTGAAAATAACCTTAACATAGCAGTTGATCAAATAGAAAATGATAAAATGGAAGAACTATAAATTTAATTTTTAAATAATGATAATTAAATTTAAGAATTAAAATAAGATATTGAATAATAGGAAAAGCTTTTAAAATAAAAAAAAGAGAAACTTAGAGATTTAATTTAAGAAAATGAAACAAATAAATAAATTATCTAAAAATGGTATTATAAAAGATAATAACAAAAAGCATTATATTAAAATTAAAAATGATTAGTTTTGTGATAATTATTATAAATTTTGTCATAATCTTAATTCTTAAAGTATGTTTATATAATAATAATATTATGTTTAAAATATTTAATAGTGTTAAATCATTATAATGATTATTTTTGATGAATTTGAGTATAGTTTCAAATCTTTGTTCCTTATTACTTTAATAGATTTTTTTTTTTTTACAAATATAATTTATTAATTATTTTTAATAAAATGACAAACCAATTCTTGAAACCCTAAAATTAACTGAGTTTTCACAATTATATTGAATTCAGATCCTTAAGATTCTCAATCCTTGTATTTAATATAATTTATATTAGTTTAAGGAATAGAATTTAATTTTAAAACTAAGAGGAGGAGGAAACGGGACCTCTAGTGGTTATGGAGTAGCTGATCCATAAATTTAACATATTAAAACTAAACATAATATTACACTTACTGATATTATAAAGTTAATTTAGCTAAATCCAAATTATTGTTCTGTTTAATAATAGAATCCAATTCCAATTATTGCCAAGAATAAATAAATTTTGAATTAAATCCCTAAATTGATATCAAACTATGAGAGTATATAAAATGAAATGTTATCTTTATTGATTTTTGAATAATTAGGATCAGTTTATTAATTTGAATTTGAAAACAATATAAATAACATAGTCTCTCAGGGTTTTTAATTAGAAGGATTGAGGTATTAGTATGAAATAATTAAAACTGCTAAATAATAAAAAGAGACAATTAAATAAGATAAACATTTTTAAACATTATTAACATTGCCACATGAATTATAGAATAGGTTTTAATTAATTGATAGTATTAAAAATATCGAAATGTAATTAATTTTTAGTGAATAAAGTAATTATAAAGAATATTCCTCCTTAATGATTTATAAATTATAGAAAATTTTTGAAAAGCTGTTGCAGATTTTCTACAATTTAAATGAAGATAAAGTTACAAAATAAGGATATTTAAAAAGTATATTTACAGATCATATTGTTAACTCTTAAAGCATTCATATCTATAATTAATGGATTACATTAATTTCAAACTTATATTTAATTAGACCATTTGAGAAATCAAATTAAGACAAAAAAAAAGAAATTATTACAAAAATTACAAAAATTACAAAAATTACAAATGAAAAATATTTATAATTCTAAATTTAAGAGAAACAATGTATTGACAATCAAGTCAGTATAATTAAAAAAAAATTAAAAAATAATTTTAAAAATTATGAATAGAGTGAGGCAATATTTCCATTGTTGCAACATATTACAATGGAATAATAAAATTCTGATTCATAGATAGTAAAATTAAAGAATAGTTACATAAATATTATGATTGATAGAATAAGAATTTTAATATCTTATAATTCCTTTTATAATTAATGTACTTTAGACAAATAGTTTGCAAATGAAGAACTTTAATATTTTGAAAAACAATTTTAAGAAATTGAAAAAATTTACCGAATGAATGGGAAAGTATGATATTGAAAATTAAAGAAAAGATCACCGGACAAAATCCTTCTTAGAATAAAAATCTTTAATTTAATAGATAACAGATTAAATTGAATTTCTAAAATTAAAATAATAACTGTCTTGTAGATGCTTTAAATTATTATAGAAAATTAATTTTTATTTTTATTAATGTAATGAATTAAGCTTATGAATCTTTAAAAAAAATAGATATTGGATCAGAATTAGAAATAAAAAATTATCTTTTAATTATATTTACAATTCAACTAATCCAAAAAAGTGAATAACTATTATTTAATAAATATAAAATAAATTTACTTACAGCTTTTGAATTTAGATCATAATATTATTGGAAATTCTGAAACGATTAAATTATTCAAGAAAATTATTAAGTAAGAAACTTAAATAAAATATTTATTAAAAAATAATAATAATTAGAATAATCAATTATTTTCAAAAGAGAAGGAAATAGATGAAGATAAAAAAACATTATAAAATCTTTCTTAATATAAGGGAGAAAAGAAGTTAAATAGTGAACTAAAAAAAATTTTGTAAGAATTACTTTAATATTATTGTGATAATTAGCAAGTTTAGATTACTTTCTCAAAAAATTTAGATCAAAAAAAATAAAATTAGCTTATATTTTTTGTATTAGAATTATTTTAATATCCATAATAATTCAAATTGTCTAATATTAATAGATGCCAAATTGAAAATTTAGTACTTTAACTAATAAAAATTTTAACTCTATGTGATGAACCATATACTTTTGAATTTGCACTAGAATTGTTATTAGATATTTGGTTAGAAAATAAATTCAATAAATTAATTTTGGATGCTTAAATTGTTGTATTAATCAAGAATTTGGAAAATATTTTAGAGCTTAACATTCAAAAATTTAAAGACCAAATTTAATTAAAAAATTTCAACAACAAAACAATAGAGATAGGAAAAAAATAATTGTAAGAACTTTATGTTAAAAATTAAATAAAAAATAAATAAATCTAAGAGAATGAAAATTAATTGTAAGAGAAATTTAACACAACATTTAATCAGAAAATTAGAATATTTTTAAAGCAATTTTCAAAGTTAAATTTGAAGTTAGATTACAATGATAAATTAATAGATTATCGCAACAATTTAGCTAATAAAAAACTTTAACCTTATGAAATTATCAAACTAAAATAAGATATGATTTTAGAATAAAAACTATAGAACATTTAAAAAGATAAATATTTTATAGATTTGATGTGTAAGAATGAAAATTCCTAAGAAAACTGTAGCAATAAAGTTAAATGAAGTAATAAAAAATTTTATAAACAGAGCTAATTCTAAAATAATAATTATATATGGAGAAGATGGATCAGGCCATCAGATTTATGAATTTCTTTGGTAATAATATAAAAATATAGATTCTTTTATTCCTGTTATAATCTTCGTAAAT